GTTAGGGTAAGCTGCTAGCAGGCCTGGATGTTTTGTTTACCTGGAACCTTCACAGGCACAGTGCCCCTCAGCTCCCATTGGCTGGGAACGGCAAACCGTGGACACTGGGAGCTGAGGGGCTCCATGACTGCAGATGCTCCAAGTAAACAAAACATCCCGACCAGCCAGCAGCTTACCCTAACGGGCCGGGAGCCAAAGTTTTCTGACCCCTGCTATATTTTAAAAGCTGGCATCACAAGAAACACTCAAAAGTTTTGCTAGAATTATTTTAATTCTAATGAAAAACCTGTTATAATAACTGAACAAATATTTATTCACCTTCAAAATTACAGTCAATATTTAAAATTATAAATAGATATTTAAAACAAGTAACTTAGAACAATATGAGACTTTAAAAAGTCTTAAAATCCTTCAGAGTTTGAATCAGTCTCTGATTCACCAACCAGTTCATTAAACTCTACTTCAGTCAGAGCTGCACCTGCATTGTCATCGTAGATGTCGGCAGTGTCGTCTTCAGACTCAAATTCCTTCTCATCATCAGCCTCTGTTGTGTCATCATCAAATATGGCATCATCTTCTGACTCGTTGAGTGCATTGCTGATACAGCTTTTCCTAAATGATTTTTCTATCATTTCTGAGGGAATGGACACCCACACATCCTTGGCCCACTGGCCGACCAGATTGATTTCGGGCTTCATAAGATTCCCGCCTTTTGTCAACTTCGCTATGCCTGTGCACGTCCATTCAGACCACATTTTGCATAGCCTGTCTTTAAAAGGTTTGTTCAGGCAGACATCAAGCGGTTGTAGAACTGAAGTTAAGCCTCCAGGTATTACAGCCAAAGTAGTTTTCATATTTTTGGCCACATTTTTTCACCTCATCCATCTTGTGTGCCCTGAACATGTCCCAAACAAGCATAGCAGGTTTCTTGAAAAGTGCTCCTGGTCTCTTATTCCACGCTTTTTCCAGCCATTCAATAGTCCCACTTTCATCCATCCATCCCTTTTCGTGTCCACTTACGACACCAGCAGGAAATTTCATATTTTTAGGCAAGGTTTTTCTTTTAAAAATAACAGGAGGGAGTTTTGATCCATTTGCCAAACATGATAAAACCACCGTAAAATGTATTTTTTCATGGCCAGTGGTTTTAATTAAAACTGTTTTTTTGCCAACATCAGTTACCATTCTGTTGCTCAGAAGATCGAATGTCCTTGGTGTTTTATCTATATTTCCTATTTGTGACAGTTCAAATGCATATTCCTTTTGATAGTTTATAATAAACCTTCGGAAAGATTCGATTTTTTTCTTCCAGATCTCTCGGCAGCTTTTGTGCTATCTTTGTTCACTGATGAAGACCGAGACCATGACGGTTCATGAAGCGAGTACACCAACCCGCTGATGCGACAAACATTGACGGCTTTACTGACTTGTATTTGTCGTCTTTCGACATTTGCAGAGCACACAGATGAATTCCAGTTCTAGTGACAATGTACCCATTTTGTCGATATTCAACAACCCAATTATTGAGATCTTTCTCTAGCTCAGGAAATGAAGCGCACCTCGTTGGACATTTTTTCTTGCTTCTTAGCATGTCTTTTAGTGTTTTATTTTTTTCACCATTCTCTTACTTCCTTCTCATTGATACAGAATTCACGAGCAGCAGTGCAATTGTTTGCTTCTGCATATTCAACAACTTTAAGTTTGAATGCTGCATAAGCAGACCTTTTTCTTTTGATTTCACCGTTCATTTTAAATACTAGTATGAAAATAGATTATTGTAGTTATAGATTTTGTAGGACTTTATATAGGAATGTCACCTGCTTTATCACAGTCAAATTATTATTATTCTTTGTTTATTTCAAAGCAGCCCTGTAGATTGGCACGTCTGTGGGGATAACAGGCTATTTCAATTTTATTAGCGATTGCATTGATTCTGCATGTTATATTTTCATATTGGCTCAAGTCTCATGAGGTCCATTGGTAGAAATTCATGAAGAGATAAAATTACACAGTAGTGGACTGACACCAGTACTATAGTAGTATCATTCATTGTATTTTTCTGATTGGCTTGTAAGGCATAGCATTTTGTGAAATGCATGGGTCAAATGTCATGCAGATCTGCAGCATTGCTCTTTTAGTATTCCTTTCAAGCCAATTTAGTCCACTAAACAAAGCCTTTGCAACTTTAAAAGGCTGCAGTATTGACATCAAAAAATGGGTTGGCAAACTTTGGCTCCCAGCCTGTCAGGGTAAGCCGCTGGCAGGACATTTTGTTTACTTGGAGCATCTGCAGGCATGGAGCCCCTCGGCTCCCTGTGGCCACGGTTCCCCGTTCCCAGCCAATGGGAGCGGCAAACCGTGGCCACAGGGAGCCGAGGGGCTCCATGCCTGCAGATGCTCCAGGTAAACAAAACAACAATGTATTAGATATTCAATTCAATGATTCCATAAAGTTTAAAATGTTCAAATTTTGGTGTAGACCCGTTTATAAGCTGACCCCCTCTCTTTGATGCGTCACTTTTTTACCAAAAATATTCGGCTTATGAACGAGTATATACTGTTGTTGGGGTGTATTCTATATTAGACAACTGACTATCATAATCCTATTATACATAGCAGGTCTGTGTAAATCTAACTTTTTTTTTGCTCTAAATTGTTCAAATCTATAGGATATTAACTTTCCATTTCAGAGAGAGGCATGATCTGAACACAGGTAGGGACCTCTACTGCGTTCTGATCCTGGTTCTGTCTAAGTCCATATTCTTATTTATATCACCTTAGTGCCTAAGGTCTCAGTAGGCTAGACACTGTACAAATCTATAGCAAGAGTCCCTGCCCTGAAGAGCTTACAATTGAAAGACAAATCAGACAAAGGGTAGAACGGGAAACAGAGGCATAGTGAGGTGAAATGATGTGCCCAAGTAGCAAGCCAATGGCAGAGCTAGGATTAGCTCCCAGGTCTTCTGCCTCCCAGTCCACTATTCCCATCCACTGGACCATGCTACCACTTCAAGCAGAGCCAGGAAGCAGGCAGTATCTGTTTTTCAGGTGGGAAAATAGATTTAGAGGTTGGCTTTGTGATTGTATAAATCTCTCTGCCTCAGTTTCCCCATCTGTAAAATGCAGCTAACAATATCTAACTTATGGTTTTGTAAGTATTTCGTTTTCTTATCTCTTAGCATTGATACAGTACTTTCAGAAAAGTTGTCTGCTTTTAATCAATTTTGCAGGTGTGCTTAATAGATATAACTGAAATTTTGCCAAACTTTGAGAGAAATATTGCCCCAGGATTAGCTATTCAAACTAAAAAGTGATGCAGTGCAAACGTTGAAATCAAATGCAGCTTAGATTTTTACAATATTTTCTCTCAAGTTATAGATTTTACAGTCAGAAGGGGCCAGTGCATGCAGAGAATAGCTGGGAAAGGCACTTCCCCCCCCCCAAAAAAGGCTGCAGAAAGTCTAAAGCAGACAGCCAAAATGACGAGTTAGCGAGAGGCTGGCGCTTTCAGGAGGAGTGAAGATGGACCCAAACTCCAGTGTGCCCGAAGGTTCAGGAAGGAGTCAGCTCCGCTGTACTTTTGTTCAATCCACTGGCACCAGGGCTGGCTCTAGGCAGGGGCTTGGGGCGGCACTTGGCTTCAGTCGCCGCACTCTGGCCTGACGGGGGGCTCGAGCCGAGCGTGTACAGCGCCGAGGCTGGGAGCCCTCCGGCGCTGACGGCGACGTTCGCCCCGGTCCCGCCTCCCTGCGGGCACGCGTCCGCTTCCGGGGGAAAGGTGACGAGCCGCCCCCCGTCTCTCCCCGGTCACAAGATGGCGGCGGCGGGCGGCGCGGGGACGGCGGCCGCGCTGTGGAGCGAGGTGAATCGCGGCGGCCAGAACGGAGACTTCGGCCGCGCGCTCAAGTCCGTCAACAAGCGTGAGTCCCGCGCGCGCGCAACTCTCCCCCCCGCCGGGCGGATGGGCCGGTCCGCGCGTCTCCGCCAGCCTGGATGGGCCGGTCCGAGCCGCGCGCAGGCCGGCGCGTGGGGGTTCCGGGCCGCGGCACGTGCTGGGCCGGGTCGAGACCCCCCCACGTCCAGCGCCGGGCTGATCCCGGTTGCGGGGGGCCGGCACTGGCTGGGCCTGGGGCTCCCTGCCGCTGGGCGGCGCGGCGCGGCCCCAGGACTGTCCCGCTGCAGGCAGGTGCCATATGCCGACGTGTAACACACACGCCGGCTCGGGCAGTGCCTGCCCTCCCCCGGCTTCCGCCTGATGGCCCGGAGCAGCGGCGCTCAGCCTTTCCGCACTGCCCCGTGGGTCCGCTGAACCCCCACGTCTCACCCCGCTGATAAACTGCTGACTGACAGTCCGACACAGGGCTGCAGCAGTGTCCCAGCGCTGTTCCTGAAATCTTGCAAACTTTCTCATTTCTGTCTGTATGAAATGGTAGTTCGTACTGACTTCGCTAGAGCTTTTTATGTAGCTTGTTCCAATACTAGGCATCTATCTGGCGGAGTTGATGTACTCCCCTCCCCCGAGGACCTCTGCGTACCCCTCTGATTGAGAACAACTGGCGTTGAGCACCCAGCTGCATGCCTAGGCCTCGGTCTGTTAAAAGGCAGCACAACTATAACAAAGGCAGAGAGAGCCTGGTACCTTCCATACCTGGAGCTTGAGACCCTCCAGCCCGATGTTTGACATGACTGAACAAAGACTGAGATCGCCTGTTTGCCCAATAACTTTTAGAAAATCCCAGCTATATAAGCATGTGTCTCCATTGGCGGG